TGTGGTATGGGGGACAAGGGAACAGGTACTTGAACAGGGTAGTTCTTAATTGTGTGTGCGTGCATGCATGTGTATAGATAGATAGATAGATTATACTTTGGTTTATACTGAATTAATAGTATGGTATAAGGTAATTTGGGCATCTGGAAAGTATATGTGCATTTAAAATAAGATATTTATTTATGAATGTCTATACCGTTCCCTCAGCGCATTGCTCTCTGAATGGTTCCCGAATAACCAAACATTGAAATAACAAGTAACCAAAAACCTATAGAAGAAAACCAACAAACCCAAGAACAACTACAGTGCAGAAACACTGAACCAATCCTTATAATAAAAACCAATATAAAAACACTTCTCTAATCAACATTTAAAATAATGGGAGAATGAAAAGGTTTTGCCCTGGCACCAAAATGTATAAAGTGTCAGCACCAGGCACATCTCCCTGGGGTGTTGGTTCCATAAATGGGGTGCCGCTACCAAAAAGGCCCTTCCCTTCATAGCCACCTTCCTTGCTTCCTTTAAAGGTGGCTCTAGGAGAAGGACCTAATTAGCTCTTCACTTGTGGTAAACAGCAATTGGTCCTGAATGTTAGGTGTGTAACTGCATCTCCTTCTTTCCTCTAGTGGTCATTATCAGCCCATAACATGCTGCTGTGGCTGGTTTTCCTGGCAAATCCTCAAATCATAGCAAAGGCTGCCATGAAAGCACCATGGTATAACTAGATTAAAGCATTAGGAATGCTTCCAGACTAGGCTTTTATCATCCAATCACTTCGGCATGTTCACAGGATTTTACAGAGTATGGATGTCATAATCTCCAAGTCATTAAACACCTGGTTGTCTGCACTGCTTCTTCTGTCTTTTTTTTCCTTGCCAAAGAAAATCTGTTAAGGTGGCAAAGACAGAAGAGCTGCACAATGCAGCTAACTGGTAATGTTAGCAGTCCTCCATCGGGAAGCACTCATACTCCCAATCAACTGCTGGGAATATTCAACATCTTGTCTTAAAAAGGCAAGAAACAAAGAGTGCTTCCAGCAGATAACTAGTGCAACCAGTCAGATCATGTTGTGCAGTGTTTCTGTCAGTGCAGTTATAAAAAGTGATTGAAAAAATGGTTATAAATGTAGGATATCATCTGAACTCCTAGTAAAATTCTGTGATTGAGGCAGGATGGTTTGCACAATTAAAGTCTTGGGATATATTCAGTGGTGGCATTCTGCTAATCAGACTGCTTCTGTTAGCTTGGGTGGGTTGCAATTCTACTGTTCCTCATGCCCTTGAAATCTGCCCCAGAGGGCTAGGAAACTGTTCAGAACAAGTACAGAGGACTGTAGGGTAAAGAAAACAAGGGAAAACAGGACTGAAAACAGGACTGAATGGACTTCCGCTAGCATGATGTTGGATTAAATTCACAATTCCTGCTGCACTATCATTCATTCCAGCAAAGAAAAAGGTAAACAGAACAGAGGTGAAAAATGAGTGTGGCTATTCAAGTATAATATAATAGATCTCAAGAGCTGCTAGATTCTTTCTCCCCATTCACCCAGCTCCCTCTCTGCATATTATACATATGAGGAGTCAGACATAATTGTTTCAGTCTGGTGAGGACCATGAGCCTAGGAAATCTACCTGTGATCCTGCTGACTCCCTGAGCTTTATCTTCATCAGCTAAGGATTTAAGGGTTCAGCCATGGAGCCAACTGGTGACTTTTGGTCAGTTACAGAGTCTTAGCCCAGCCTACCTCACAGGGGGGATAAGATTGAGACCAGGAGGAAGTGAATGATGTAAGTTACTTTGACTTCTTTAAAAATAAGGAAAAAGGTGGAATATAAATCTAATAAATAAAAATGGTATCTAAGAATGTAAGGACATAGAAAGAGCCATGCTAGATCAGATCAAGGATCCATCCAGTCCAGCATTGTGTTTACACAGTAGCCAACTAGTTCCCCATGGGTAACCCAAGAACAGGACAAGAATGTAACAGTATCCTTCTGCCCATATTCTCAGCAACACTTACAGAGGCATACTACTTCTGATACTGGCAGTAGCATATAGCTACTCAAGGCTTAACCATTGCTAGCTTTATCTTTCATGAATTTGTCCAATCCCCTTTTAAAGCCCTTCAAGCTGGTGGCCATGACTCTTGTGGAAATGAATTCCATAGTTTAACTATGTGCGGTGTGAAGTCCTTCCTTTCATCTCTCCCCTGAAACTGCCCTCAATCAGCTTCATATGATTACCCAGGTTCCAGTATTATGAGAGGAAAAAATGACTCCGCATTTACTTTTCCGTTCCATGTGTTATTCTGTACATCACTGCCATACCTCCCCTTATTTGCCTTTTTCTAAGTTAACAATTCCAGCTGTTGTAACCTTTCCACATAGGTGAATAGCTCCAGCCCCTTGATAATTTTAGTTGTCCTTTTTTGCATTTTTCTTTTAATTCTACATTATCCTTTTACATGCAATGTCCAGAACTGTACATATTATTTCAAGTATGGACACAACATTTGTACAAGAGCAATATTATTTTGACAGTTTCATTTTCCATTTCTTCCCAGTTATCTTGGAATTTGCCTTTTTCATAGAAACTGCACTCTGTGTTGACAGTTTTATTGAACTGTCCTTGTCATCTCCAGGTCTCTTTCTTGATCAGACACTGCCAGCTAAGATCCCATCAGTTATTACTTAAATTTGAGCAGGGGGAGGGAGGGGGGTTGCCTCAGTATACATCACTGTACACTTGCTTACATTGAATCATATACTGATATCAGTATATCAGCTCTCAATTTGGAAGGTTCCTTTTTGTTTTAACAGCCTAAATAATTTGATGTCATCAAGATGGCCACTTAAGTTCTCCCTCCTAATTCTAGGTCATTTATAAACAAGTTGAAAACACTGGTTCCAGTACAGATTCTTCTGGATCCTAACAGATCCTAACTGAACAGTAGATCAAACCCCAGAAGAGATATCACTGACTCCTGCTTGACCCATTTGCCTATGGCAGTCTTTCCCAACCCACTGCACTCCATACATTTAAACTTTTATCTCCCATCAGCCCTAACTGTCATAGCTAATGGCCAGGAATTCTGGGATATGTCATTCAAAACAACTGGAGCATGGAAAAACCTGACCTGCAGGGTCACTCAGGTTTCTGACTTTTGTCCATAGCATCCACATAAAACCACTGGTATAGGCCATGCAGAGATTTAGCACTGATTGTCATTGATATTCAGAGGATACCCAGTTTATATCTCTTTGTTTCATTTGATGCCGAGAAAACAATAGATATTTTGAACTAGTATTTAAGTGAATAAATGGATTGTATATGGGATAAGAAACTGAGGCTTAATCCTACTAACAGTTATGCTGTTGGTCTGTAGAGAAATGTTCTATTCTGGTAGGGTTTGTACTTTCTTTGAAAGACCAGGTCTGCGTCCACAACACCCCTTGCTCCTGGATGCTCTGAAGTGGTTTTGCACTTCTTCAGCTAGTGTTCCAAGTATGTCTTTTCTAAAAAAAATCTGGTCACTGACACACATGCCTTATGTACAACCAGACTGGATTACTGACAAATCATATATGGGATTGCCTCTGAAAGAGATGTGGAAACCTTGGCTTGTGCAAAACACAGGCAGCTGGGCTAATTTCTGGAATCTCCCACTTGCTGATCATACTAAAACCACAATTTGGGATGAGGATATTTGCAGGACCACCACTTCCCATATGAACCCACTGTTTTTAGCACTGGGGATCTTGCTGTGCATCCCTCTAATTTTAGAAGCATGGAGGTAAACAAGTCAGCTTCTTTTGAAACTAACCACTTTGTGAAAAAACATGATAGTTTAGTTGTGCTTATTAACAAATCAAGATTAGATAAAACTGAATGCCACTCTTCCATATACCACATGGAGTAAGGGAAGGGAATGTTTAAACTTAAGACTTTCCTCAGTCTTGTTCTAGCTCAAGATTTAGCATTGCATTTGAAAATGGCTTCTTTTAGTAACTTTGAATATGGCCTGTTTAAGTAAGTCCCATTAAACTTACTTCTGAGTACTGATGGCTAGAATTGGGCTGCAAATCATATAATGTGTTTTTGATGATTCATTATTCCCCACCAATTTATGCAATCTCTTCCAAACCTTTTTTGCAGTACAATGAAAGCTTAGTGTTTCATTTTACTGCAAACCATCTTAAAATTGTTACCTGATTTGAAACCATTGACTCCTACACATTAGTTGGCTTTGCACATGCATTGTGCAAACTGTGGATGTATTTTTTGTTTTTTACACTTACAATACAAATTTGCTTTTGACTTTTGGGAAGAAACTCACTTTTCTATTCATATGTGAATGAAGTAGCCTGAAGATAACTGTGGGTAAAGCTTCTTGAAGCTGCAGTACAGTGTAAGGGGTTGCACTGTTAATCTGCTATACCAAGTTCACTAGATTTATTTTAACTACTGTGCTGTGTGCTGTAGGATCCAACTAGGATCCATCTAGATCCATCTTTTAGGACAAAAAGACAGATCTAAAGACTGAAAAACAGCTTGCTCTTTAGATGTAACATTTTCATTGACTAAATATTCTTGATGTGTTATTAGTGTCCCAGCTTGTCATGGGGATTGTGCCAAGAGTTGCTATCAGGTTATTATTTACTTTGCAGCATTAATTAAAACATCTCTATGACAAGTTTCTATTTTTTAAAATCACAGGAATGACAGTGGAGGATATATATGTAGAGGCCATCCTTGATGAGATGTTACAGATTCTGCAGTTAAGAGAATTTGAGAAATCTGAAAACCCATTTATCATATAGTTGGATGATTTTTCCTAGATATTTTTATTTTTAATTCTGCACTGAAAATTTACTGTTATGGGTAATTTTATAATGATGCATTGATTTACATTAATCATGTAATCTGATTAATTATTTCAGCTCTCAGAATGGCGGATGATAGTGCGTTTCTCTTGGGAGTCGCAGATAATCCGGTGAGTATGTTTACCCAGGGATAGTAATATGATAAACATATGTGTAAAGCATCATGTGAAATCACACACACTTAGAGAGACTATTTGGATGTTATAGGGTCTGCAAGGAGTTTTTTTTAATATTGTAATTCATTTGGAGAACATGTTTCAAGCACTAAATGTACCTAGAAATAGGGATTTATGAACGGGCAAAAGGCTATTCTGTGTGCATTTTACAGATTTTGGTGTAGCTTTTCCTGTGTTGTCTGCCTATTGGTAGACTCAGAATTTGCAAAAATGTATCCATGCATATTTGTGTAGGCTTGAATTTGCACAGATGCATTTATGAAAATTTGTGAATATTGGCCAGATGTGCACAGATCTCCCCCAAAATGCATGTTTGCATATTTTATAGTGGGATTTCTGCATTTTAGTATTTCTGATCACTGATTATATGCAAAAACACACAAAAAAATCAGTCAACAGGCTCTATGAACTCTGTGTGGTCAAGAAAGCCAGTCCCCTGCAGCACTTGTGGAGCCAATTCAGAAATCTGGATTTAACCATTGCAGATTTCTCCAGCATCCCTTCTCAGAGCTATTTAGCTACACTTCATTTGGTCTGTTGAATCTCTATTATTTAAGAGTGGAGTGTGACTGGATTAGCCAATTCATGGGTTGTTTAAGTCATAAATTGGCAGGGCTGTGAGCAATTGCTTTCAGTTTTAATCAACAACCCAGTGTTAATAAGCAACACTTGCTCTTGAGTTGTTTGATGTGATGTCTAAACTAGGAGTGCTGAGATGCTGTAGGTTAAACAAACCAGAGTTGATGTCTTAACCCATAGAACTGAAAGGTCTAAATCTGGAATTACCAGTCCACTTAGAGCATTATTTACTTCATTCTCTCACAACTTTCAATCTGACTTCCCTTGAAACCTCACAGACACAATACAGCCGTGGAAAAAGGTTCAATCTAAATGAGGTTCCACTCCTAGTACAGCTAAACTGAGCAATATATGCAGTCTGCTGTGAGAGATTGCATATATTTATTGGTTTAAAAAAAAAACCAATCCCCCCATTCATCATATTTCCCTTTTCTTCTTCCCAAGCAGGATTTCTGGGTTGTTGATTAAAGCTGATTCAGAACATAAGTGTCAAGTGCCCACAAATAGCATATTTGTTCCTTCACTTGTGGCCTCAACAATTCATGGTTTGAACAATCCAGTAGTTATTATATGTCAACTGGAGCTATCAGCTATTGCTGTAAATGTGGATGTTGCTGTATTTTTAAGCTACTGTTAAGAATTTATATGTTAACATTCTCAACCAAAACATCCCTTAAATAATTGAGTTTCTTTCCAGGAAGAATACTTCTGCCTCTGTATCCCAGGATCTTTTTTTCATTATTATCTGCAACTCTGGATGAGAAGTAGCCAGGAAATCAGATTTTGGGCATAAATAATATATTTATATCCATACTTTTAAGAAAATGCAAAGTAAGCTTTTTAAAAGAAATTATTAAAAACATTTACTTGGTATTGCATTTTTAGGTTAGTACATCCTGTATGAGTCATAACTATGGTTTAGATCTTGCTTTGTTTGCTCATTAATGAGTGGGAGTTGCAACTTTTTGACACTAACTGGGCTTCTTGTATTACATCGTGGTCAAATTAGTGAAAGGCAAATTTTCCAAATGCGTATAATCCACCCACTGTAAATTGTGAAGCATATCCAAATATGTTGAAACAAAAAGGGGTGGTTGTTTTGGTTTTTCTTTCATATCCTGCCATGATCTTTAGTCACTTATTGGAGCTTCCTTGGGTCTTGTGTACAAATCCCCATACAATTTAACAAGATATGTGCATGGCATTTTATAGAGTTCAAAAGGTCAGGTCCTTGTCCCAAGGATGTGACTTGGATAAATAGAGGTTTCTTTTGGCATGGGTGGATTTTAATATTACACTAGCAGTTGCCAAGTTTTTCCCCCAAACAATTAAAATTAAAAATTACTATTTTTAATATCCTATAGATATACCTGTCAATAAACTCTTTTATTTTAGTCTTAGTGTGGCGATTGGCTAAGGTAAAGCATAGTATATAGTTCTACAGTGACAATATTAGTTGCATTTCTCCAATAAACTGCTGTCCTGGGACTAGCTCAGATGCTGCATGCATGCTCAAGCATTCAATCCTGTGAGTGCAAGCACGCACGCACACATGCCAGGATGCCAACTTCAATTACTGATTGTAATCCTGGGTACTCTGGTCCATTTGGAGCTCTCATTGTTATAGCAGATGCATGGTTGCCAGTGGGAAAGACCTCTAGCTGGTATTAGGTTACATTGCAGACGAGGACCAAATTCCAGTTTGGAGAAGGTCTCAGAGGATATATTGTAGTGGTGGGCAGGGGCAAAAGAGGTAGGGCCAAAGTACTAACACAGTTTAACTTAAAGTTCTTCCTGATAGGAAGTTTGCCTAAGGAGAGGCATTTCAGTGTTTTCGAATAGGAAAATAATTCCACACAAGGCAGGAAGCCACCAACTTATTAGTGACTGAGGGAAAGGGAAGGCTAAGAGAGGAGGTATAACCATGTGGAGAACTCCACAGGAGGGAACTGGAGTTGCACATGGGCCAGAATTGGTTCCTGGTACTGGGATTTTTCACTATTGTAATGTCACAGCCACTGAACACAAAACGTTTTTGTACACATTTGCTTATAGTCTGCTAAATAATATTGCTATAGACTTGCTAATTCAGCTCAAGTTCCGTTGATAGCTGAATAGAGAAAATGTTGAATGTTGAAATGACACTTAGGAAGGTAGTTGTGTAGAAAAAATAGGGCAGGAAGCGTTAGCTTGTAAAAGCAGGTTTTTAAAAAAATCTATCTAAATCTTGCTAGTGCCTGAACTACCTTGATTTATAAAGAAGCTCAATAATTCTCAAAGCAGGTGTTTGCAGTGGACTACTTGCCGATGCGGCTGTTCAATAACACAAGCATGCTTACATCTGATCTACCACTTCGCACAGGTAAGTGCAATGATGGTTTGATTAGGATGGTGTATTGGGGCTTGTTTGAAAGTCTCACACCAAGACGCTTACTTTTGTGTGAAACTGTTATGAATTATCATTGCTGGGCTTTTAAAAAAGATTTTAAAATCAAAGAAACTGACTTGAAAGGTTCTTGAAAGGTCATAGTTTCACAAAACAATTTACAATTTGTAAATCAATAATGCTCTTTAACACTAAGTATTCATTATCTTCATTTTATTTATATGGGGAGCCAAGGATGGGAGATAGCCCTTGCCATGGGAAGCTTAATTCTATTCTGCATCAGTGGGCATACTTTATATATGATCTGCTATGCAAAAATCATGGCCATATCCACATTGCTAAAAAAACCACAAAAATTCCACTGCCCTTACTGTATATATCTCTGACAGCATTTCCCTACTGGAGGGATAATGCAGTCTGCAGCAAAATTAGTTTCCTTGATCTTTTAAATCTGTTTCCATAGTGGTGGGCTGTGTATTTCCTGTTCGGTGTCAAAATATAGAAACCTCTACTGGCCTTGTTTAATATTTTGCTGTAAAAGATGAAAATAAAAGATTCATTTTGGAACTCCTTTTTTCCTTATCACATGAATGGACAGTGATCAGAGCCAAACTACATGTTACCTTAAAAACAGGATGCAGCTCTGTTAGTACTTTTTTTTTGTCATAGAACGCACCGGAACGGCGTTCCAGCACCATTTTTTGACGGATTTTCCAAGTGCTTGTGAATCACCCTGCTGGGCATAGCAGATAGGCGGCAAAAATCATTAACATAGTGCCTGCAGGCTGCTTGTGTGTCGGCGCTGATTGTGAGGGTGCTGCTTGGCTTGGGACGCTGCTCGGCTTGGGATCGGTCGTATGGTCGCGCGCTGAGTGCTTACTGCCAGCGGCGACGGTTATGTTTATGTGTGTGTAGAGTGATTGGCTACCTGCAAAAGGTAAATAAGTTCTTTATTTCAAAAAAAGTTGGTGAATTGAAAATCTTTTTTAGTGTAAAAGTGTGACCCCAAGACGTGAGTTCCAGCACCTTTTTTTTCTTTTTTTTTACAAAAAAAGCACTGCTAACAAGTAAATGTGGGCCCTAATCTGGATGAGGACCAGAGTGAGGAAATGAGCTTGAGTGTGTCCTCCTCCGACCCACACAAGAATCCAGTTCGGGAATAGGTCTCCCATGCTTACCTCTGAGCTAGTACAAAGTATAGACACAGCAGCATAGTATGCTTTAATGGTAATATATTTGGGGGATCTATAGAAACAGTGTGTGGCTCCAATGGTCAATTGTCCATAGCATAAGTATAGTGTAGAGAAATGTTCCCTGTGTATAAATCTGCACAGCTTTTAGTTATTTTTTCAATTTCTTTTACCTTTAAATATCTCTTTCATTGAACTAATTTGTAACAGATGTCATGATGTTTGAAAATCCAGTACATGTAAGTGTGGTAGTCATAGTGCTTAAATAATGTTCTCTCAAAATAATCTTTATGTATTATGCATCTAGATAACTTTCTGTTCTATTTTATACGAGATTTAAGTTGAATGTCATGCTATCCTGTCTCAGTCATGCAGTTTAAGCAGTTTCAGAAGGAGAAATTTTAGTTAAGGCAGCTTCTTGAAGTCTGGTCTTGTAGCAATAGAAAGAGTTGTGGGTGCTAAAAGCCATACAGTTTCAGTATTTCTAAAGGACACAACACCCTGGTTCCATATTGAACTTAAAAATGCATTAGCTCAGTTTTTCGACTATTGAGTGATGAGTCTTTAAGGAACATACTAACATAAAAGGGATCAATGCTGTATAGTTAATTCTTCTTTTATATATTGATGTGAATGCTTGGGAAGTTTAGGGACTTTCTGACAAAATGCCCTGCTATTTATTTATTTATCTATTTATTACTTTTCTAGACTATCCCTTACCATAGCCTCTGGACAGTTTAACAATGAGTCAAACTAAAATAAAACACAGCAATTTTGTTTTCAAAGATTAAACGCTTTCTGCAGTAACCCTGTTCAGCTGCATTTTGTTTTCCCAAATTAAACTTAATAAATGACTTAGACTAAAATTGGACATTATAAACAAGGTTGTGATGTGTGAATTGCTTTTACTCCCTTTCCTGCTTATGCAATTTGCAGAGTGGGAAAGACACCTCCTTTTTCCAGTTCCCATGAGATATAGGGATTCATTTCCTTACCGTCTATTTATCTATCTCCCTCCCCACAAACACCTTGCATGCTATCTACTTCTCACTACTTCTCATCTGTGAGGTTGCTCTAAAACCTACAGATGCTTTGAGCAGTGGCTTAGCTTTTCTGTTTTAGGTATTTATCAGGACCAGTATCTAGCAAGGCCCAAAAATACACACAAATTACTTCCATGCACTCATTTAAGAGTTCCTGGTTTTCTCTTCTTGTAAGAGTCATTCTAGAGGAATTGCTGATCTTTGCAAGACACTTTTTATGGGGCAAAGGGACTCTATTATTCTGTTGCAAATTTCTTTTGCACCTTTGGCATGTTATGTGGTGAGCAGGTGACTGAAAAGCCATCAAAAGACTGTATGGCCCCCTAGACTCTGCCCGTATTTCTAAACTGCTTTCTCTTAAATCTCAAGAAAGTAAGAAAAGAATAAACAAAAAAGAAATAGATAATTAAAACTGAATAGCACTAGACGTGCTCATCTGACCAAAGGTCCACCTGAACAAAATGGGTGAGTTCACCCATCACAAGAATCCACCCTACAGATAAGCTCCATGACATGCACATGGTGGGCATGTCGTGAGCGGAGCTGGCTGGAGCCGGAGGTCAGACTAGATAGCCCGGGAGACCCCTTCTGACTCGGTGGGTTGTTGAAACAATATGTGTATCCCATCAGTCTTGTCATGGATTCTTTCCCACAACTCCTCAATTCTCACACAGGTTTCTGAGGGGGCTTCAGAACCAACTTTTCTCATCTCCTCCTGCTGTGACACAAGCCCTTTACCTCGACTGTGTTTTTTGAAACTCCTTTCCCTCCTTTTTTCCCCTTCTTTCAGAGATGGCTTTTTGTAATCTCCAATTTGACCACTAGTGGCAAACTGTTCACATCTCCACAAAGAATATAAAATTCTCTACGATTGGTTTATCACCTCTTCCTTTCTTTCCTTTCTGCACCTCTGATGTGCATGGGATGCGGGGGGTGGTATTTCTAATTTTGTATACTTCCACAGATCCAAAATGACATTCCTAACCTGGGCAGTGTCTTGGCAAGTGTCTGCTGTCACTGTGTCACAGGGAACCTACTTTGACAGTGACCTAGACAGGCTGACAAGAGCTTTACTTTTTTACTTTTTTTTTCTTCACACATGTCAAAGGGCAAGCTATCAAATGAAAATCATGAGTTACCTTTGCCTATGAAGGGGGATCATCCCCTTCAAAGGAGATTTTCAAGGGCTTAGGGATATTTTTTTTTTGTTCGTTTGTCTTGTCTTGTCTTCAGACTTGACTCTTGTGGGATTCCTCTCCCTTTCTACTCTTTCTTGAAAAAGTGGAAAAATACAAGTTATCCCGTTTTAGAAATGCATGGCAATTTGACAGGCAGCTGTCAAAACTCTGGTTCCTTTTAAAAGGTGTTTCTTGACAGAACTACCCATTGTTTTGTTTTTGTACATGATTGTGGGCATATATACCTGCTTACATCCCTGTCAAGAAATCCAAGAACACTTCTGTCAAGAAAGGACTCAAAATCACAATGAGGGGTACCAAGCCAGTGCTGGTGCTCCAGCCATGCTCCAACTATCGCATAACCCATGATGGAATCAGTCACTTGGATTCAGATGATACGACAACCCATTGTGGGTTCCACAATCCTAAGAACAAGTCATGGGTTGTAGGGGGTGGCTTTTCCCATGAACAAGCCACACTATAGGTATCTGTCTGGGTTTACAAGAGTAGGCAACCCGCCACACTTGTCACTCACAGTGGTTTATCATGTTGCTCATTCAAACAGGTTTTTTTTTCAACAGCCCCAGAGCTCTGGAATGCCTTCCTCATATAAATTTGCTGGGCATGCACCTTTTTCTTTTTAGTGGCTGGCCTTTAAAAAAACCTTTTTAAATCTTTAGATTTAAATAGTTAATTTTTAATCTCCACATTGTGAGATGGTCTTGGCATTACTGTTTTAGCTATGTGAAATTTAATCATTTGGCTCTCTATCATTGATTATTGCTTTGACTTTAGAATCTTGAGCTATGATTTGGTTTGATGTGATCTATTTTGTTTTACAGTAGATGGTGGGGAGCTTTTGAAAATACATTTCATCCTATTGAAACTGTAATTTTTATTTGTCTTTTTTCTTTGATATTGGGCAACTAACAAATGGTGGAGAAATAGTGCCTTAGCCATAATTAACTAGCAACAAATCTCTTACATGCTTTCATACTGTTAATTTTGATAGCTTTGGTAGAGACTTGGGTCTATGGACAATTAATATACAACTAACCTAATTTTGGGCCTGTTAAAATTTTCAAACCATATGACCATGGCTGAATTCATGTCAGCATGACCAAAAAATGTTTTAACATCACATACCTTTCACCATTTACTTGAAGCATTGACATTTTGGCTTTGTAAAAACTATGTTCTTACAGAGTGTATCATTTGCAACTTTTCTTTCTTTCTTCCTTCTTTTCTTTTTTTTTGAACTAGCTGATGGGCCATACCTTCACATTGTTGAACAGCCTAAGCAGGTAAGAGTATGATCACATTTTTAAAAAATTATGGATTTTTAAATTAACATATAAATCTAAGCATATAAAACCAGTTTTTCTTTAATCCTAGTACGTTCTTAGTTGTGTTGTATTGATAAATAGTGACTATCATATTCACCTAGATCACATGCCATAATCCACCTGCTTCCATTAGCATTATGTGAACATGTAGTCCAAACCCTAACCTTTGCATGCTGCATCCCCCACATGCCATTTTTGTTCATACCTCTATTGTTTATCTTTCTATTGGTATATCATCCTGTACCCAAGGTTCTCACAGCAGTTTCTGCATCCTGATTCCTTATCACCTGTTATGTTTTGAGGTAAACTGTATTTTTCCAAATATAGTAAATCTAGAGTAAAATAAATCTTAGGCTTACCCTACAACTACAATCAAGTTGTTGTTTTTGACCTTGGTCTGCTAAGCAGCCATAAACCATAATTTGCCTCAAACCAGGGTTAATGGAAGGAAATGTTTGTGTGTAAGGAATGAGGAACTTCATAAGACCACGGCTCCTGACTATTTGTTTATATAATGGCAAGGCATAATTGGGCATCTTTAAAGTACTTTAGGAACATGGAACACAGGAAGCTAACTTATGTCAGTTCAGACTATTGCTGGGTGAAGTGAAGGTTGAATATGGGTTGTCACTGTTTTGTGAGTTGTTGTATTGGATGTATTCAGCCACACTAATGAACTGTTGATAATAGTTGATATCACAAGAAATAAACACAAGAAATACACAAAGAAAACCCATGGTTTGTGGTTGGGTTATGAACTGTGGAATTGCTTGGTTAATAAACAATGCTTTGTAAGTGTGACTGGGATCACACAAAAGAACCACCGGTGATTCAACAACAACCCACATGCAACCTGTTCTGTGGCTTGTGATGTTGTGTGTATCCAGCCAATTTGTTAATCTAGTCTAGTATTGTCTGCTTTGATGGTGAGTTGATTCTCAGGGTGTTGGGCAAAGAGCTTTAATATTTGCTGTCTGCTAACTTTTAACTGGGAATGTCTAAAAATCAACTTGAAATTGTCTGAAAGCAAAGTGTATGCTGTACTACTGAGCAACAGTCCGTCACTGAAACCTTGTGTCAGAATAGGGTTTCAATTTCAAGGGTAAAAAATACAGCAGAATGTTCATTGTTACTTTACAATTGTTAAGAACTTACAGCACACAAGTCAACTCTAGTGACTTGCGGTTACTGTAAGATGAACTATACTCAGTACGGGCATATATTTTGGCCTGATATAAGTTGACAAACACCTGTATTTCAGGATGGCATGGTTCAACTATAAGAGTGGACACTGCTTGAAAAAATCAATCACTAAGGGAACAAATGAAGGGAAAGATACCACAGGTAGATACTTTATTATAGCCTTAATATGAAATTGGATCCCAAGGCAGCCCCATACTTACTTGGACTCATAAAATATCACTTCCATTCCTTAGAATGCAGAAATCTCTTCAGCAAATTTTGAGTGATAATGGAACATCCATTGTAATGTTAAAATCGGAAAACAATTGGGGCAAAATAGTTAGTGCCTAAGCTTTGAGGCTGATTACTCATTTTGAGAACTTTTGTATGATTAGGATGGTTAGCTGTGGGTTATAAATTACATGAGTTCAGGATCAAGAGCCTGAACCTATGTTGGGACTTTGTAGTTTTGGTATTTGTTATTTCAATATCTTGCATTTCCATTATCAAGTGAGAATGTCTAATAGAACTAATAAGTTATTAACATCTGTAGTGAGACAGGAAACCATGGCCATTTCTCATTTCAGACGTTGTCATATGTAACAATATCTACATGAAAGGCACAGCCATATAGAAAACAATTAATTTTAAAGGCCTGTCTTGTCAGACAAGCCAACAATACTACTCACAGTGGCTAATAAGTACAATAAAATCAAATGACACCTCTTTAAAACAATTTTAGATGAACAAAATCAATTCTAGCATTTTGAATACTCACATTTTAATTTTATTTTTTTCTTCCATGTTCCATATTCATAAGGCAAAAACATAGACTGGATATATGAATATGCCTTCTGAGAAAGGCATATAGGAATAGGCCTTTTGATCAGGAATATGTGAAATATACCTGAACAAAATGATATAGTGTAAGTACATGTAGTATGCCATACATACTCTGTCCCCTCTTCTGTTTTTCTATTAGAAAATTCTCACAGTTCAGAAATTATTATTTGTTATCTCTGCTATCCTCAGTACTTACATTTTTGTGCTCCTGAATTGCAGTATAACTTTTACCACCTCAGTGAACATAAGCTGCAAAAATAGTAATGCAGAAAAAGTGTTAACTATTTTGCTGAAACATTGTACTTATTAATTAGGTTCAATAATACTCTCAGCTGAGAGTTGTAAAAAACATGCATATATGAATTCCTTACTGCATTATTCCAGTATTAAAATGATGTCACAGAAAAAAGAGTTGAGTTATCCTTTATTTATATCAATTCCACTTCTTCCATCAGCTGATTCCAACTATTTGCTTCTGAGAATGTCAGAATAGATAATTGTAGTATTTTTTCTGATTTAATTGGTTAAAATGAAAACAACTCTTTCATTATAACCAATTATATATAACTTAAAAGTCACCCCACATTTAACATGACATAAGATGGAACAATAAAACATTTGCACTTTGTGTATTCCACATGGTTTTGACTCTGTTCTAAATTCCTTATGCTGGAAAGGAGTACTTTGAAAGAATCTTCACCATCTGAATGTAGTTGGTGTTCAAACTTTACTCCTAATAAATTGAGAGTATGATAGTAACTATAAGACAAAATATTTTGTGGTATATTTAGGATTATTTATCATGGTATTTAGTTCCCAAATGTATACCAAGAAATGTCAGGATAGTTTAGGGCAGTGATGGCAAACCTTTTAGAGACCGAATACACAAACTGCAACCCAAAACCCACTTATTTTTAACAAAGTGCCAACACTACAATAAAACCCAAAAACAGAGGTTTTAGTTTAGGGGACATATCTTTGACAGTGCACTTGACTGGCCATGTGAAAGCTTGGAGGAGTTGCAGCACGTGACATCATCACCTGGTGCCTCTGCTCCTTTCCAAGCATGTGCATGGCCCCTATGTGCACTGTTATCCAATGCCCGGCTGCTGGGGAGATGCTGGGGCGACTTGGCTCGCATGCCGACAGAGAAGGCTCTGTGTGCCCACTGTGGGACATGTGCCCACTGTGGTGAACACCACTAACCCTAATAGAGGACACAAGTTCCATTGAAAATAATGGAATTTTGAAAAAGCCTTCCTTGAGCAGCTTTGTGTGCACAGCTAATAATTTCTACCCATTCTAAACACATTCCAGCCATCAAAATCATGCCCGGACAGCTCATTTTTCTAACCCTAACCCTGACCTGGTGCACACCCCTAACCCTAATATAGGGTTAAAGTTCCATAGAAAAGAAGGTCATTTGAAAAAGCCTTCCTTGAGCAGCATTTCTGCGAAGCTCATCATTTCTGCCCCTTCTAAACACATTCCAACCATCACAATCATGACCGGACATCTCTTTTTTCTAACCCTAACCCTGCCCTGGTGCACTCCCGTAACCCTAATATAGGGCTAACGTTCCATTGAAAATAATGCGATTTTGAAAAAGCCTTGCTTGAGTAGCTTTTTCTGCACATCTCAGCATTTCTGCCCATTCTGTACACATTCCATCCATCAAAATCATACCAGGATACCTTGTTTTTGTAACCCTAACCCAGTGATGATGAACCTTTTAGAGACCAAGTGCCCAAACTGCAACCCAAAACCCACTTATTTATCGCAAATTGCCAACACTGCAATAAAACCTGAAAACAGCCACTCCATCCTTGGCAGCACACTGACCAGCCATGCGAAAGCTCAGACGAGTCACAGCTAATGTGTCGTGGCTTGTGACATCAATGCCTGATGCCGCTACTCCTTTCCAAGCATGAGCATTACCCCTATATCTGCTGTTATCCAATGCTCATATGCTGGGGCAATGCTGGGGTAACTTGGCTCTTGTGCCAACAGAGAGGGCTCTGCGTGCCCACTGTGGCATGCGTGCCATAGGTTCACCACCACTGATTGAGGGCATAGTCCTACTGTTAATACCCTCAGTACTTAGGGCCTTCCAAGATTCCTGTGCCCTATTGGACTGAAAACAGAAGGATGAGAGGGGTGGTGGAGGGTTATACACCCTCCTCTTCCTCTTCCTCCTTTCTTTTAAGACTGGCTTTTTATGTCTATCAAGCAAAGGGACATTGAAGGAGGAGGCTGGATCAAGCTCAGCATAAATAATATCCTGGCCTTTCCACTCCTTCCTGCCCTCTGGAACAGCTTATTTTCTTCCTTTCCAATGTCAGGCTTCCAACCTTGGAGAGCCATCAAGCTCAGTCTCTGCACTGACCATAAGAGTACAGGGGAGAGGGTCAGATCTCTTACTCAGAGATCTCAGAGAGCAGAGAGAGGGCAGGGCAGGGAGCTAGATCTCTTATCATAAAATGGCCTCTGACCTTGGAACAGTCAATCTGAACTTAATTGTTCTCTTAATCAATCAATTTCTCTCTCTCATAACTGTCAATGAATTTAATGGGACTTAAGAAGATAATTAACATACAACATAGAGCCAGAATACATTTCATCTTGACCAGTATTCTGCTGCCATTAAAAATGGATCAGCATGAGAGGCCCTTCTCATGTGCCTACCTGTGAGAGCACTTAGGTGGGTGACCACTGAGAGCCTTTTCTGTAGTGGCCTCAAATGTCTGAATATGTTGCCAGTGGGTGTCTGCCATGCTTCATCTTAAAAGCATTGCAGGCTTTTAAGAAGGCCTCTAAGACATATTCTTTTATTGTAGCCTTCTCCTGATATGATTGCTGTTGTCACTGTTTTTGTTGCTCTTTTTATTTCTGGCTTTGCAGTGTCCTTACTGTTCATTTTGTTATTGTTTTTAATACAGTATTTTTATGTTTTACTGTTGTATACCACCTTGCACAGCATCTGCCCTGAAAACTGGCCAAGAAATATTAATAACATAAATATTAATAGTAAATAATATAGCTGTATAATATTTAAAATAATATTTACTATATCAGTAATGTTAAAGCAATATAAAGAGGTATTTCTTAGGACAGAGAAGGCCTGACCAAAAAAGAAAGCTGTAATAATTTTTCTGTTGCTTGTCCAATATATGAAGAAACTAGTTCATTAATAACATTTATTAATCCTTTAAACTAATATTTTTTAGAGAGGGTTTCGTTTCCGCTATGTTTGTGAAGGACCATCACACGGTGGACTTCCTGGAGCTTCTAGTGAAAAGAACAAAAAGTCATATCCACAAGTTAAAGTAAGTTCCTAATGTATTTCTCATATATATATATGAACTGATTATATTTATTACACTGCCAATTTTATGGCAACTTGCAGAATGGGAAAGGACAGGTGTCTTCTCAGAGGAACAACTTAAACCTATTTGGAGAGACTTCATTTGTATTTAATTGTATAATTCAGAATACTCTTCTGTGAAGCTAAATGGTTCAGTTGGATAAAATCTGCAGTTCTTGCAGGATGTATTTGTAGAAAATCTCTTGCCTAGGAACAAAATACTCGAATGATTTAAGAAATGAACTGGAACCTTATTTTGATTAGTAAAATGAAAATTGTACTGTGTAGGATCTAATTCTTCTAATTCAAAATGCAAATAAAAGGAAGCATAGCTTGCACATAATTACAAGTTTTTGTTTATGTATGTTGGAAAGCTAGCAGAAAGCAGGAACAGAATATATAAAGCCAAAGATATTCATCACAAATATATTTAGTATTTAGTTTGTACTTTTACAGTACTAAGTAGAACTTTGTACTTCCCACATCCGGTAGTATAATGGAGAGAGAAGATAGGAAAGCATACTTCTGAGACTTAGAGAACATAAGAACATACTGGATCAGGCCAAGGGACTGTAATTCTGTTCACACAGTTGCCCACTGGAAATGCATGAGCACAAAATAAGTATAACAGCACCCTCTTGCCCATGCTTCCTAGCAGCTAGTGTGCATGGGCACGCTGCCTCTGGTCACAGAGTTGCATCAATAGCTTTATCTTCCATGAATTTATCAAGACCCCTTTTAAAGTCATACAAATTGGTGGCTATCACTACTTATCATGAAAGTGAATTTCCTAGTATGGCATGGTAGCTAAGAGTGTTGGATTACGGACCTAGGACATCTAGGTTCTAGCCTTCACTTGACCATGAAACTCACTAGTGACTTTGGGCCAGTCATTCACTCTCAGCCTAACCAACTTCTGAATTGTTGTGAAGATAAAAATGGAGTGGAGGAGAACTATGTAAGTTCCCCTGGGTTCCTCACAAGAGAAAAAATGCAGAATATAAATGTAGTACAATAATAATAGAGTTAACTATGTGCTGTGTAAACAAGTACTTCCTTTTATCCATCCTTAATCTCCTGCCATTCGACTTCATGGGATGGTCCTGGGTTTTAATACTGTGAAAGAAGAAACATATCTCCGTATCCACTTTCTACTGTACATTGCTGCCATGTCTCCCCCTTGTTTTTTTCTAAGTAAAAAATACCAGTATGCCTATCCACACTGCTTGCTGGAGAACATGAATGGGGGTGAGGATGGAGGAGTACTGTTAAGCCCATGTCCTATATGTGGGCTTCCAAACAAAATACTACCTAGCAGGACCTTTGGTTCTTCTTATGTTCTTGTCCTCTGAGGTAAATGAGGTGATAATGAGGCTTTCAAGTGTATTTATTGTTTGTGATATATTAGCATAGAGAATAAGGAAAATAATTAAGCAGAGGCTGTATGCTTATTTCCTTTTCTTTACCTGGTTTCCTGCTTTATCCTGAAAATGTAAATGGCAATACTTCTTTGCAAGCATGCTTTCCTTTCCAGTTAAAACCCAAACCATTCGACTGGGTTTCAACTGACTAACGATCTTTTGTTAATGTCATTGTGTTTTGCAAGCTGAATCTATAGAATTAGAAGTTTGCACTACTAGATTCAGTGGAGCTTGTTCTCAGTTTAAGTATGTTCACAATTGCACTGAGCCTGAGTGGTGCTGCTTTGTAGACTATCACACTTTGTGTGCATGCACCCTGTAATAGTGAGTTCCATGCTGCCTGTATGTTCCAGCACTATTAGCCCTTTAGGCTGAAAGGACATTAGGGGAAAGGCTTACCTGCACTTCCCTACTTAAGACGCACTTTCAGTTCTCACATTTATACACTTAACAACTGCTTGGGGCTATGAAGTTCCAGAGTTAGGTTTACAGGAGGATTAAGGAATGTGTGGGACACCAGATACTGTTGGACTACAGCTCCCCTCACCATTGGCAGTCCTTACTAGCTTTGATAGGAGTTGCAGTTCAACAGTGCCTGGAGGGCCATACCCTCTGCATCTCTGCTTTACTGGCTCAGATTCCTTTGGAGGAGAAGATGGCTGTTTATTTACAGATGTCTATAGTTTGAGCAGATTCATAATAACAGTAATATAGTAACTGGTCTAAAACTTAGAATCTCTTTCTATTTGGTTGAATTCAAAAATTCCTCTTGGAATTCAGTCTGGCCTTTTTAAGTTCCTGCTCTCTCCTGGTAAATACTCATGACATTTTATGCTGTTTTGAGAAAAAAAAGGCAAATTTAATGTCTCATATGTCAAGTCTAAAGAGAAAAACACGTTGCAACATTCCTGATAGAAATGTGGAACTTGCCTAATTTTTATGCAAAATTTTCTTCTGGAGGAAAACAAAAGCGAATCTGCCAGGTTGGAAGAAGGCTAACCTCAGCACCTTCTCCATTATACCCACTAATCATTTATGTGCCAAGAATATTTTCTTGTGCAGAGCAGAATTCATTTGTGAGAGCTACCTGCTAGAAGTGGTAAAGCCAGACACAAATTTACCAACTCTATGAGAAACAGGTCTATGACAGAGCCTGAATTTGAAGCAAAGTCTCAGATTCTGAAACCATTTTATATAAAGTGTCTTCCCTTAAAGGTTCTGTGTATCACACGTGCAGAATTTTGGACTACAGAATTTAATTTTTGGTGTGTTCAACTCTAGATCCTGTAAATGTTTTGAGATAGCAGGTTTAACAACTTTACATACTTTGTCATTCAACTTTACATATTTTGTCACTTTGTCATGTATGTTTTTGCATACATCTAACTTCTTGATTTCTTTACTAAAGATAGAAGTCTGGGAGAAACTAGATATGATGAGAGCCAGTGTGGTGTAGTGGTTAAGAGCATGGGACTGGGACTCAGACGATCTGGGTTCTAGTCCCCGCTCAGCCATGGAACCAACTGGGTGACTTTGGGCCAGTCACAGGCTCTCAGCCCAACCTACCTCACAGGGTTGTTGTGGGGATAAGATGGAGGAGGAGATGTAAGCTGCCTTGAGCCCTTTGTAGGAAAAAGGCAGGATATAAATCGAAAAATGAATGAATGAATGATGGAGCAGCCATGCTTGTCTGTCCACATGTCTGATGGGGGTGGGGGTCTACTTTTGCAGCCAAAGAAAAGTGCAAGTGAAGGTTGCTGAGGCCTGCCCCATCTCACTTGTACTCTATTGCTTCAGGAATTTTTATTATCAGCACTGACTCCAGTTCCAGAAGTGAGCTGGCTAGACAGAAAAGTTACCTCAGCTGAAGTGCAGTAAAGTAAGTCAGGGAAGGGGCAGACTTTGGCTCACCTCAATAGCACATGCTTCTTTGTTTCAAAAACGTTAGACTTCCCTTTTTATTTGAACAGGGCTGGCTTCTAAAGAAAGGAACTTCACTTCTGCACTCACATCTAGATGGATTTCAGTGTATTTCTAGAACTTATTAGTGAAAAAAGTATTTATTTAAATGGAAAATATAACGTCACAGATGTCTGTCTGTCTGTGGAAATGGGCAAGGCATGTGGTTTTGCGTGCTTGCATTTCCCCTTATTAATATTTTACCTTGTGTTTCATCTTTCATCATAGTTTTGTTCCTCAGCTTGCAGTCCCATGCTCACTTACCTGGAAGTAAATTCCATTGAATTCAGTGGGGCTTACTTCTGAGTAGATAGGTATAGGAATGTACTGTCAGTCTTCTTCATATTTATTTCACATTGTAATTTTTTTTTTTTTTGGTTTGTATAAATCTTTCCTAACAGGCAACACCTGTTAGGAAAGACTGGCAGAAAAATATGGGGAAGTTCCTCTAGGCTACTTCACTGGCTTGTTAGTGCCTGTTCTTGTTTTCAAGTTTAGCCAGTAGATAGAGAAAATATTTTGCATATCATCTGCCTGAACATAATGCTTCATCTTCTTGAATGGCAACACTTCCAGTCTATTTAAGCTCACTATTGTGAATATCAGTCAATATGGCCTTTATGGTAAAATGAATTTTGCCCATAGGTAATCAGGTAGTTTTTAACTCTTCTTGTTAGTAAATTTGTGGTGCATACTCTGATGTTAATGCAGACAACAGACTCCTAAGCTAAGTTTAGGGGATGTGATTTCAGGCAGGAACATAGACAGACTAGCTTTTCAAATGTAAACATCTTAGTGTTTGTATAAAAACCCTTCCTTCCGGAGAATACATTACCAATAGTGAACAATGAAATTTATAGGAAAGAATTTGTTAGAGTCAGATAAGGGTTAAATAGCAGTGGACACCTTGCCTTTAGGGATCTCGTGCCCGTATTTACATGCTCTTGGATACTGCCACAAAGCAATAAGGATAAAATGGATGCTGGGGTTTTCTAAACACCACCAACCACAATCCATGGGCATGGCTTAAAAAAGATGCTTTATAATACAAGGTAAAGTTTCCTGCTTTAATCGAACATCTAATAACCAAAGACATTTAGGGAAAGAGGGTACACATTTTGAATTCAGAGGATTATAGACATACTATGCAGAGTAGGACAAGCCTGGAGGTAAAGGATCCCTCTCTAGAAAACAGCTAGATGACTAGTTTCAACTGTGTAAATGTGGCATTTCAGAAGAAAAGTGGAGGAGCCTGAGGTGCTACCAAGTACACTGTATCTGTCAATGCTGGCCTGCTCCCCTCCGTGTCCCCCAGAATGCCCACTAAACTCCAGAGTGACTTTGGAGTTCTTGTAGCTAGTGCAGTTATTTCTGTTCCAGCTGTGAGGAGGTTAGTGGGAATCCAGACATGGATCCCCAGCTGCAAAGGGTTTTGAACATTTTGGTATACAGAAACGGAAAAGTTAAACAAAAATATACAGTCACAAAGCAATGAACAAAGATGTGTTAAATTGATTTTGAGAGTATTACTAATAATACATATGTATGCATATACATGTGCATATATTGAAAGTTCCTGTTT